CCTTGACCGGGAATTGAACCTGGATCTCCCGTATGGAAGGCAAGAATTCTACCACTGATCCACCACTGCTACTGCCCCCAGGCCTTCGTACAGCTTATGTTGTATGCTTCATTCAGCTTTGACTTCCTTGGGTGCAGCTAATGAAGGATGCAAATTGAATGAAGCCAGCGCAGGAGCCCACTTACTATGCTATGTCTTGGGAATGTAAGTGGGTGTGTCTCCGTGTGTCTCCTCGCTCCTTAGTTCTTTAGGCAAATATTGCTGGAGAAACAACACTACGTCCTTAGTTGGAGGGATGGGATTTCCCTGGACTCAAGGTGTTTCCTTTTCTGGCTTTCTTTCTTTTATTGTTCATGTCTCTTTTTTTATCTCCCCTCACTTCATCAAAATGAAAGAAAACACTTTAAAATCCAGCTGAAACCTTCTCAGAGTAAGTTTCCTGGCTGCTTCCAAACCTGGGAAGGAATGACAGTCACTAGGAATGCGACTTATAAAGGTCAGCTTATTAGAGGATGCTCCACCTTGAAATACAGATATCACTAATGGAGGTTGGCATTTTCCTCATGACCACTGAAGACACACATCTAGACAATTTCTTTCCCTCGCATAAGTGTGATTAGCATAATTGCATTTTTAAAAATCTCTTAGCATTTTGGCTCTTTCCCCAAGTAGGTCATGTAATAAATCATTGAGAACTAAGGGAAATGAAAGAAAAATTTAACCCAAGGAATGGAGTTGATTTCGCTCAGTGAACTTTAATTCTTGATTTAGCTAGTATGGGCTGTATTGAAAGACTCCAGCTTTCCCTGCAGGAGATTTCAGGTAGCTTTAATTTAAAAATATAAAATAAAATAAAGATCTTTTGAGAAAAGGAAAACAAACAACAAAAACTACCTACGTGATATTATCCTCAAACTGGAAAGAAAATGAAGGCGAATCGAATAGGGTGCCCTCTCCCCTTCTTCTTCAGCCGGACCTGAGGACATGGGCATAGACCAGAAGAGAAAGCCTGCACCAGAGAAGCTCAGCAGAGGCCGCCAACAGTCACCAGCAGGCAGGAAGTCATGAATGACGTCAGCTTTCATCTTTCACAGCTTACAACGTGAGCGTCACAGTCCTTCAGTACTCTGTGTCACTGAATACCCCGTTTCATGACTCCTCTTCTTCAAGCTGGGGAATTTGCATGGAAAAGAATCTGCCGCATTGGCAAGTGGAAGGAAAGAAGTCAGTGGAGAGGGAAAGAGGATGATTCAGAAGCATTGGACAAAACACTGAGAAGACATTGGTGCCAGAGGACAAGAGCAAGATCAATCCTGGTCCAGAAGAGGAGTCGCCAGTGATTCCTCTGTGGCTCAGGATCCAGAAGGGCCCATGGCCCTTGAGGTTTTACAGCGCTCCAAATAGTCCAAATAATGGGTCTGAAGAACAGAGATGTCATCCTTCCTAAAACCGGAATATTCTTAGCATTGAGTCAGCAGGGTCACTCTGCGTTAGAATTAACTCACTGCTAACTGGTGAGTTTTGTAGGGCTGTTGTAACACAAGTATTATAAGTGGGTGCTTTTAAGGAACAAGATGTGGAAACTCAACATCTGAATCGCTTCTTGTCTGTTTTTATTCTTCCTTGGTTCTTTGATTTCTAAAGGACCCTCACACGGATCTGTCTTTTACTTGTGTGTGCCTATCACTAAGTCTAATCTGTTATTTTTATTTCTCAAATGCAATTAGAGTCAAAAATAAAAGGTTTATTGTTCTAAGAGACTGGTAGCACCCTTGTGACTATAGTCCTTAGACACCTTTATACCTGGAAATGAACTCACTCCCATGGTTCATCTTCCAGGCAAACAATAGACAAGCCTAAAAAGTCACCCCTCACCCCAGGAGCACTGGGAAAGTAAGCAGCCTCGAGGACAATCACCCCTGTGAGGTCAAATGAGCAGCATTTTCCCAAGATAAAGACAAGTAGGGATGGGAAAGCCGGAGAAAGGGAAACTGTAAACACTGGAAGGAAGAGGGAAGAATGCCCACTGACCTGCCTCCATGAGGCAGGAATCAGGAAGACTATCC